TATTATATTTCTTGGCGTTGTCAATTTGGGATCTCTTTCAGGTGGTGATCGGTGGATTCTTTCTATGGTTATTTTCCCTTCTGGTTCTAGGACTTCTGGGCAGTTTTCCTTTATGATTTCCTGAAAGATACTGTCCAGGCTCTTTTTTTCATCATGATTTTCAGGTAGTCCAATAATTTTTAAATTGTCTCTCCTGAGTCGATTTTCCAGGTCGGTTGTTTTACTGATGAGGTATTTTACATTTTCATATTTTTTCATTTTTTTGTTTCTGTTTGACTGATTCTTGCTCTCTCATAGAGACATTAGTTTCCATTTGTCCAATTCTAGTTTTTAACAGATTGTTTTCTCTGTTAGTTTTTGTACTTCCTTCTTCAACTGGCCAATTGTGTTTTTTAGGGACTTGTTTCCTTCAGCATACTCTTCTGTTAGATTTTGTACTTCCTTCTTCAACTGGCCAATTGTGTTTTTTAGGGACTTGTTTTCTTCAGTGTACTCTTCTGTTAGTTTTTGTCCTTCCTTCTTCAATTGGCCAATTGTGTTTTTTAGGGACTTGTTTTCTTCAGTGTATTTTTTTTCCAACTGGCCAATTGTATTTTTGAAGGACTCTTTTACCTCTCTCATTTGACTATTAAAATCCTTCTTGAGCTCTTCTAAGAAGGCTTTTTGGGCTTCAGACCAGTTCATATTCCCTTTTGTTGTTGCAGATGTGGGTTTGTTGACAATGTTGTCCTCTTCAGAATTTCTGTCTTGATCTTCACTCTTCTCATAATATGAATCTATGGTACATTTCTTTTTACTCATGGTGTTTCTTTATTCCCTGGCCTTTAAAGAGATTGAGCTCTCCTGCTGGGGAACAGAGGGTACTGACCCAAGCTTCTTGTGTTGGGAGCCTAGGTCTTGGTCACTGGCTTTGCGTTCTGGGGCCTCTTATGCTGGGATTTGGAAGCTGTAGGTTTCTGGCAGCTTACCTTGTGTTGGGCTGGAATCAGCAAGGCTGGAACTTTCAGGCAATTCTAGGTTGCCTGCTTTTCCTTTCCTTTAGCTTTCTTCAGCTCCTTTTAGATGGCTGCTGCAGGATGTTTATCTGCCTGGGGCCCCCTGCAGTGTTGTCCTCTCCTCGTTTGCTAATGCACGGGAGATTCCTTTGCAGTGGAGTGCGGAGGCTCCTGGTGGTTTTCTGAGCTGGTTTCCACCGGTTCCCCCGCCCTCACTGAGGCACTGGAGGTCCAGGTGTTGGTGTTTGCCTGCTCTACCACCTGGGCTTCAGGATTTCTTCACAATTGGAGGCTTCCTACAGCTCACCTGGTGTTGGGTTGGAATCAGCAAGGCGGGCTTTAGGAAGCCTTTAGGTTTTTCTTCACCTCCTTTCAGATGAATGCACAGGGTACTTATCCGCCTGGGGCCCCTTGTTTTGCTGAGGCACTGAGAGACCGTTTGCTGGCTACTGCACTGCTGTTCCTTGTCTTTCTTCTAGTTCAGGTTTTCCAGGGTTTTTTTTTTTCCTGGGCTGGTATTTTCTGGGTTTGCAGAGGTTGATAGGGGAGAGTGAGAGCGACTACCTTTTCACTCTGCCATCTTGGCTCCCCGAAGTGGAAGTCAGTGTCTTTATTTTCTACTGAGCAGGAAATGAGGTCATTCAATGCTCTTATTTAATGGGAGATAATGGAGTGAAGATAGGAAAGTAAGAGAGGGGGTTTATGAGGTCTATTAGGACCTCTCAAAACATCAAATTATTTTCTTATCAGCCATTGGAATTGTGAAATCTCCTGTAATGCGTAGAATCTGAACTATGTCAGAGCTATGAAGTATATCTGAAAAATTTTGTATGTTTGTCTTTTCCTTTCTTGGGAGAGAACTTGTATTTTTGTTTTTTTGTTGTCACTGCTTCATCATCTTTAGAAAAAAATAAAAATTCCACATATTACCTAGTTAAATTTTACAAATAGGAAATTTCCCCTTTTTTATTCTCTTTGGAATATTGACCTAGGAGTGGTATTGCTGTATCAAAAGGTATCTTTTGTGGAAATTAAGTGGATGCCTGTAATTGGGGCATGGCTAAAAAAGCTATGATATAATTGTGATGAAATATTATTGTGCTATAAGAAATGACAAGCAAGATAATTTCAGGAGAATCTGAAAGAGTTTCTTTAATTGATGCAAAGTGAAGTGTGCAGAACTAGAAGAAAGTTGTACACAGTAACAGCAGTATTGTGTGATGATCAACTGTGACAGACTTAGCTCTGAGTAATACAGTGATTCAAGACACTCCCAAATGGATCATGATCAGTGGTCACCTTATCCACCTTCACCGAAAGAACTATGGAGTCTGAATGCAGATCAAAGCATATAATTTTCACTTTTTCAGTTTTTTTCCCCTTCCTCCTGGTTTTTTTTCCTTTTGTTCTCTTTCTTTTTTCATAATATAACTCATGTGAAAATATGTTTAATATGATTGTACTTGTGTAATGTATATCACATTCCTTACTGAAATCTGAAGGGATGGAGAGAAGGAAAATTTGGAACTCCAAATTTTATAAAAACGAATGTTGAAAACTATTTTTACATGCAATTGGATTTCATGTGAGATTTGAAGGAGGTCAAAGGGGCCAAGATGTAGGGATGAGGAAGAAATAATTCCAGCCAGTGAAAACACCCGTAGTAGAGAGATGGAATCTCTTGTGAAAAGAACAGCAAGGAGGTTGGTGTCATTGGAGTGATGAGTGTGTAGAAGGGAGTAAGGTAGAATAAGACAAGAAGGAGCCATGCTATGAAAGGAATTTGGGAGAAATGGTCAGACCTATGTTTTAGGAGGATAATTTTGATAGCTGAGTTTAGTGTGGCCTGTAGTGAAGAGAGTAAGGCTGAGAGAGCAACCAACAGGCTAGCATAAGGATCCAGGTGAGGGGGGTCCAGCCCCTCTCAATAAACTGACCCCCCCACTTCTTCCACATTGTTTAGAAACCGAGCTTCTATTATACTCTCCTTCTAGTTTATCATAACTTCCTTCCATGCCCTCATGGGGCATGAGTTTGTCTTCCACATTGTCAGAGCATTTTGGACTGAGCTTCCAAATGGACTCACCATTCTCTTTATTCAGAGCTCCCATGTCTGCTGTCACCATGTCTTCAGGAAATATATTATCTTTTCTCTGCTGTTATCTACTTTCTCTTTATTTTCTACTCAGCAGGAAATGAGGTAGTTCAATGCTTTTATTTCATGGGGGATAAGGGAGTGAAGATGGGAAAGGGAGGTCCATTAGGACCTTTCAGAAAAACAAATTATTTTCTTAACAGTCACTGGAATTGTGAATTCTCATATAATGCATAGAATCTGAACTATGTCAATTCAGTATGTTTGTTTTTTTCCTTTCTTGGCACAGAACTTGTGTTTTTATTTTTCTGTTGCTGCTTCATAATCTTTAGAAAAAAATGAAAATTCCTTACATTACGTAGTTAAATTTTACAAATAGGACCTTTCCCCTTTTTTATTCTCTTTGGGATATTGACCTAGCAGTAGTATTGCTGGATCAAAGGGTATCTTTTGTGGTGTCAAAGAAATAGAAATTGAGGGGATGCCCATCAATTGGGGAATGGCTAAACAAGCTATGATATATAATTGTGATGGAATATTGTTGTGTTATAAGAAATGACATGCATGATGATTTCAGGAAAATCTGAAAGAGTTACTTGAACTGATACAAAGTGAAGTGAGCAGAACCAGAAGAAAGTTGTAATAGGAGCATTGTGTGATGATCAAGTATGATAGACTTGGCTCTGAGCAATACAGTGATTCAAGACACTCCCAAAGGAATCATGATGAAAGGTCATGGTATCCACTTTAAAGAAAATAGTGATCGTGGTAGTACATACTAGGCAGACTCTGTGAAAGGTCAATTCGCTATCTCCAGAGATGATGGCAACAGCATGCTATATCTACAGATGACATACCTTAAGGCTGAGGATACAGCTGTGTATTACTGTAGGAGAGACACAGTGAGGAAAAAGAATGTGAGAACAGACAGAAACTGCCCCTACCAGGAGGTGAGATATTAGTGAGGCCAGAAGGAACTATGGAGTCTGAATACAGATCAAAACATACCATTTTCACTTTTTTTATTCTTTTTTCCTTCCTCCTGTTTTTTTTTCCTTTTGTTCTGATTCTTCTTTCATAATATGAATAATGTGAAAATATGTTTAACATTATTGTACTTGCATAACCTATATCAGATTCCTTGATGGAATCTGAAGGGAAGGAGGGAGAGAAGAAAAATTTGGAACTCAAAATCTTATAAAAAAGATTGTTGAAAAGTACTTTACATGTAATTGGATTTCAGGTGAGAACTGAAGGAGGTCAAGGGGGCCAGGAAGCAGGGATGAGGAGGAAAAGAATACCAGCTAGTGAAAACACATGTACTAAAGAGATAGGATCTCTTATGGAAGGAGCAACAAGGAGGTCAGTGCCATTGGACTGATGAATGTGTAGAAGGGAGTAAGGTAGAATAAGAGAGGCAGGAGCCATGCTATGAAAGGAGTTACAAACCAAATAGGATTTTGTATTTTTTCCTGGAGTCACCAGAATTTGGGGGAAATGGTCAGACCTATGGTTTAGGAAGATAATTTTGATAGCTGAGTTTAGTGTGGCCTGGAGTGGAGAGAGTAAGGTTGGGAGAACAACCAATATGTTAGAATAATAGTCCAGGTGTCAGTTGGTAAAGGCTGACCTCAGAGTGGTCACAGTACCTGAGCAGAGAAGGGAGTATGCTAGATATGTGATAAAAGTAGAATAGTAGGACATAACTACCAATTAAATATGGGGTAGGAGTGGGAATGAGAGTGAAGCATTAAGAATGATAGCTAGCTACTGGAAAAGTTACTTTCTCCTGGGACAGAAGAAAAAATAACAAAAGCCATAAATAAAAATGGTTCAGATTCACTCTACACCTGTTAGTGGATCTAGACATCTTGTACTCTGTGCATCATGAACTCAATCCCCTTCTGATGTCACTGATGTCTCACCTCCTGGTAGGCGCAGTTTTTGTCTGGTCTCACATTCCTTTTCCTCACCGTGTCTCTCGTACAGTAATACACCGCTGTATCCTTGGTCTTAAGGGAAGTCATCTGCAGATATAACATGCTGCTGCTATCACCTCTGGAGATGGTGAATCGACCTTTCCCGGAGTCTGCATAGTATATGTTACCACTAGCACTAATTTGTGCAACCCATTCAAGTCCCTTCCCTGGAGCCTGGCGGACCCAATCTATACAGTAGTTGATGAAAGTAAATGCAGAAGCTTTGCAGGAGAGATGAAGAGAACCCCTTGGCTGTCTCACATTTCCCCCAGACTCCACCAGCTGCACATCACACTGGACACCTGTAACACAGAGACATTGCATTAGAGGCAATAGTCACATTAACTCACCATTTCACATAGATCCTCTCGATCCTTGGAAAGTAGTCAGAAGGAAAATCCACTTCAGCCTAATTTCATGGTGAGTTTCCAGGTTAGTCCTCTTTGTGGAAGGACACACAAAGCTTGAGCGTGTCTCCTGGAGATACAAGTACAGGTTTGGGGCTGCTTTTCATCCAGTGGGGAGGGACCCAATTTGCATGTCTTCCTCTATTCAGGAAGAGGAGAAACACCTTCTTCCTTCCACTGAGCAGTTTCTTTCCTGAACTTGACAGAAAGTTCCCCTAGAGGTGGTTTCAAAAGCACTGGGGAATGTTGATGACACTTGAGACTTCCATAGCTGATGGCTTTGACTCAGTGTCAACCACCCCACATCACTTGAATAACTTTGAACAGTTGGATCACATGAAGCAGGTTTTTCTGTGCTCCTAATAAACTTCTAATTAATCTTAGTCCCATTTCTGATTGTCAAAGCTCCTCAAACATCTTCCATTACCAATGACCAACAGACTGAATCTTTTTTATGAATCACTTTCTTCTCAGCTTCTCTTTTCCTGATCTTTGGCACTCTATTGCTTCCTGAGTCAACTTTTTCCTCTCCTTTTACCTAGGATTACATTTTAACTAAATTACTTACCCATAGTCCCAGTTATACTCATCCATTGCCTTGCTAGGAAAAGCTCATATTCCTTTTTTAACTCTTCTAGGTGGAGAAATTGAGTCATGAAAGTCATAGTTCACCATAAGAAAATTGCAAGTCTCTTCCAACAAATACCTGGTTTCTCAGAGAGACATATTCTATTTGATGTCAGAGAGAAATTGTTATCCTCTGTGACACTGACCTGATAATCTGATTTATGGAGCAAGCATGGCACAGATTTCTATGGGATGATCTTCATAGTTGAAGTACCATTCTCATCACCCAGAATATCTAACTGTGGTGCCACCTGCTGGATATTTGATTGTATACTCAGAAACGTGTTTCCATTCACACTTTCACATTTTTCTAAGAAGGAAGAGTTATAATTTCAGGGACCTTATCGTTTTAAAGATTTACATCTAGAATTCTTTCCAACATCACCTTTTTCTTTTCAAGTACTCAACTCAGTGGAGGAAAAAAGAAAAAGAAAAATCCAACAATCCTTCTCTTAACCATCATTATAGCTATGGAGCCTTCATCATAAAGCAAGGAGTCTGAGCCACGTCTCTTTGTTTTCTTTCCCCTTTTATTGTTCTTATATTTTGGGTGGCTCCTTTTTACTCTATTATTTACCAAAGTAAGGATATTTTATAAGACAGCAGAGTTCAATAAGCATAGAAGAGAAAAGCTTAGATTGGCACTCTTTAAGTGCTGAGTCCATAAATCATTGTTTCATATATACTAGTATAAGAGTCTTAGACCTTTAGAATTTTCCCATTTCAGAAATACAATGATCACCCTATGTGTCCTATTCACAGTTGGTAAAGGTTGCAAATCTTGGGAGTATCTCATTCATTTTATCTAAAGCAAATTTAAATAAATCTTTATATTTTCAACTCCCTTAGTTAACATAAACAATTTTAATCAACCTGAGAGTATTTGGGGTCCTTGCTCATATGATGAAGGCACTGATTAGCCATGTCCCTTGGGTTGATATGAAAAAGCCATGTAGACAGTTCTATTTTAAATAGAGGGTGAGTCATCTCTGCTGTCAGAAGCTGAACTTAGAAGAAAAGCAGCCCCAAGGAATACAACTGTAAGAACTGACCAACAAAGACATTGTTCTCATAAAAAGTAACATTTTGACAATTATAAATAACCAGATTCACTATAAAAGGCACGTAAAGAAAGATACCATCCACACAAAGAGAAGGAACTGATAAAGAGATCTATAGAATGATTGTACAAATATATATATATATATATACATACACACACACACACACACACACACACACACACACACACATATATATATATATTTGTGTTTAATAGCCATCTCAAGGGTAGAGGGGTAAAAGAAGATATTTACATGATAACTTTTTAAAAATTTATTTAAAAGGAATAACAAGCTGTACGTAATAGATGTTCAGTTTCATGTACAAACATTTTTTATTATACTGTGTCATGGAAATGGTTGTTTTATTCCTTAAATTAAAAGATAAATCAATTTTAAAACATTTTTGAAGAGCACTGTGGAAATTTCACAATAAGAGAAAGGAAGTCAGGGTTTTGAAGTGGCAGAGACTTGAGTTGGTTTGGCCATGTGCATTCCTTCTATATGTCTTTCAACTAGCGTACTATTCAAGGGCTCACTCTTCCCATTGACTCTGAGAATATTTGTTGGAAAGTGTGCCTCATATTTATAGTTGAAAGGTTCATGTTCTAATTGTTTTCTTTGGTTTGAACTAGTAGTGTCAAGTGGTTTGAGTCCTTGAGTGTGGACTCACAAGTACTTGGGGTTGTTGACCCCATGATCATCCAACGTGTAAACATGATATGGGGGAGTAGGCCAAAGAGGGGAATGCTACATTGGAAGTCACACGGCCAAGGGAAAATTTTTTTTAAGTTTTCCTTCAACAGGAATAAAAATAAATTTATATCAAAATCTGATCAGATATCCTTAGCCATGTGACCAACAAGATGGAGAAATCTCTTTCCTCTCCGATCCTTACAACCTTTCAAATATTTCCAAAATAACCATATTGCATGAGAAGAAAAAGCAATTCCATTTATCAACACCATCTAGGCACTAAGAATTCTATCAAAGCAGCACACTGAAGAAGTAACAGTAGAGAAAGCTTATCATCCCTAATTTATACCATGTTCACTCAGAATTCCCTCTCATCCCAGCTCCTAAACTCTTGGAAGGGTGGCACAACCTGACCCATGGCTTGCAAGAGAACTAAATTCTTCCCAATCCATACTGTGCAGCAGAGGTGGAGGTATAGAAAATCAGATTTTTGCTCTCCTTGGAGAGGCAAAATGGTGGCATGTTGTGCTACAGCAGTTCTTAACTAGAAAAACTAAAGAACATAGGGAACTGGAGTAGGGAGGCAGAATGTATATGACTCTGCTATGTCTGAAGAAAAAGGCCATGGCATCCAGGGGCAGAAACTGAGGCAACTGAAATGTGAATCTACCTACCACAGAAAGAGGCTGAGATAGATTTGAGGTCCAGACATTAGGGAATCTACCATCAAAGTGAAAGGAATTAGAAGGTATAGGACAGGTGAATATACTGAAAAAATATTGAAATTACCAAAGATCTCAATAAGAAGAAAATCCAGTTAAAGACCTTGAGGACAATCAAATAAAGCAATAAGGAAGATATTAATAACATAAGAAAAGAGCCCCTTGAACACCTCAACAATTCCAAACAATGAATAAATATTGCAATACAAAGAAAAATTAATCAATACTTGAACCAATAGAAGACTCTATGGATTCCCAAGGTCTCTTGGGAAGTGACAACATGGAGCCACAGTAGAATGTTTCCTAATGGTGCAAGAAAGAAATAAGAGTTGTGAAAGTGGGGGGCAACTATATGGGACAGGGAATATAAGTAAAGAAAAGAGAAGAACAGTCTGGAAGGAGAGGAGTAAAAATCAAAATAACATTAAAAAAATCATTTCTATATAAGTAAAATATATTGCTCTCTAAGGATTATAGGTCACCTGGAAAAACATGGAAAGTCCAAAAGCTTGAACATCAAGAGATATAGTCAAGATGGCAGAGTAAAGGCAGGAACTTGCCTGAACTTTTCCCCAAACCCATCCAAATAACTTTAAATACTGATTCTAAACAAATTCTAGAGCATCAGAATCCACCAAAAGACAGAATGAAACAATTTTACAGCCCAAAAATCCTTAGAAGGTCATCAAGAGAGGTCTGGGCACCATAGTCAGAGAAGAGCGCAGTCCAGGGCAGGCCACATCAGTGCAGATCCGGCCCCAGCAACCTCACAAGCAGGCCTCACAGCAACTGAATCAGTGGCGAAAGAAAAACACATATATGTAACAAAAAAAATATAGCAGCTCTTTCCTGGGAGTAAAGAATAAGAAATTAAGGAGATACCAATCAATTGGGAAATGATTGAACTTATGATGGGATATGATTGTGCTAAACGAAATGATTAGTAGCATAATCTCAAAAAAACTTAAAAAAATTTACATGAGCTGATGCGAAGTGAAATGTACTGTGTACAAAATAACAGCAATATTGTACCATGATCAGCTATGAATGACAGCTATTCTCAGCTACAGAAAGCTTTAAGACAGCCCTAAAACACTTAAGATGAAAAATGCTGTCCATTGCCAGAGAAAGAACTGATGGCGACTGAATAAAGTTTGAAGCACACTTTTTTTAAACTTCATTTTTCTTGAGGTTTTTTTTTTTTGGTCTATGCTTTCTTTCACAACATGACTCTTATGGAAATGTTTTTCATGACTACACATATGAAATTGCTTGGTCTTAATAAGAGTAGGTGGGGAGGGAGGAAGGAAGAGAGTTTGAAACTCTAAGTTTTAAAAATGAGTATTAAAATTGTTTTTACATGTAACAGGGAAAAAATAAAATACTAAATAATATGTTTAAAGATTGACAATCCAAAATCAAGAAATAAATAAGAAGAAAAGTCTAAGTAATGAAACAAACTTCCATGGAGTTTGTAGCTGAAGAGCATAGGTTTTGTTGTTGTATGTTTGTTTGTTTCTTCTTTTCTTTTCTGGAGATGATAGATGAATGCTTTCCATTGGCACCATTTCCTTGGTTGAGAAGTTCTGGGAAGTTTTCATCTATTATTTCTTGCTTCACTTATAATTCCTCCTTGCCATGTCTTATGAATACACGTACAAATACATGCACGGGAATTCACGCATAAACACACATGAATATTTTTGTATGTATCTAGCTGTTCTTCAGTCATATTCTACTCTTAATGACACCATTTTGGAGTTTTTCTGCAAAGACCCTGGAGTGGTTT